TGTCATAAAATCCAAATACCTGCAGTACTTGCTGAACCTGCACATGTTTATAAACTGCACCAGCTTCATTTCAAAAGAAAGTAATTTTTTTCCACATATAGGCCGCACTTGAATATAAGCCGCATGTGTTGTACTGTAACACTTACTGTAACTAACAGCGGATGGACCAAAACAAAGCCGATAGAAGCTTTGTAAATAAAACAATGAACTCTGAGCAGGTAAGCTAACCGTTCGCTATAGCTACAAAAACTGGATGGAGTCAAAAATAAATAAATAATGAACAAACCTGAACTCACAACAGCTGAAGTGACATTGCGCAGATACCTATTTGTTGTAGGTCTGAGCGCTGCTGCAGCTGTCAAAAGCCGTGCATACACTGTAAAACTACAGCTGCAAAGGGCTGCATTATAGCAAGGGACTACAGTGCAAAAAAATTCACAATATTAGTTAAACAAATGGCATGTAAGTAGCTATAATTATTGAACTCTATCCCTTCTTAACCACAAAACCGATATCTGACAAGCACTGAATGTTCTGTTTCTTGGGATCTCTGTGACCCTTTTTCATTAGAAATTTGTTCTTTTTTACGCCTTGAACATTCACCAACTTCTCCATTCCTTGAGTAATCTTAAGTCTGGACAATGGGCCTACCTCCAAAGCAACAGCCAAACCAATATAATATCCCTCTAGAAGTGACCTCATCGTCTGTGTCCCTGAACTCGTTTCCCCTTTGCTTCCATTGTGTCTTTTAACACGGAGAATATGTGTTTAAATCCGCTCTCAACACGTCACTTTTCGGTAAGTCAGGCGGCTGGTTTGTAGCATCGCAGTGGTGTCATCGGTGCTTAAGGGCACTTTTGTCATGTCAGAGCTGGGGAAGAGCAACGTGCCAGATCTTGTTCCAGCTTTTCTAGTCGCACAAAAGAAATTGCCAGTAGTGAGGGAAATTAGTGTGTGTCAAAAGTGGGAGATGTGTTATAAAACTACTACTAAGGAGAAGTGAAAGCAGTACAAAAAATACTTACTACTACTGCTGCGGTTACTAATACTAATAATGCATTGGTTTTAAATAGTGCTTTTTTGACACTTAAAGATGCTCCACATGTCATTATTGTTTCACTCCAAACGCTGTGGTGATAAATTACTACAGTAGCCAGAGCTGCCTTGAGGCACACTGACAGAAGCAAGGCCCCTCTGACCTCGATCAACCATGCATGCACACACCAGACTCATTCTAGTGGGTGAAGTGTCTTGCCTAAGGACACAGTTTGACACTTCACAGCCGCAGCCACCCCACTGTGGCACCTGGTGTTCCCCAAGGTCTCCCATCACAGAACTAACCAAGCCCTATACTGCTTAGCTTCAGAGGTCTAACGGGAACTGGATTTGAAATGCAGGTGGCACTACTATTACTACTACTACAACTACTACTTCTGCCTCTGCTAGTACTACTATAATTATTGAAAGTTGGGCTGATTTAAAATGCCTGATTTTAGGAGCATTTTAAACTATTTGATTTTGCAAACAAAAAGTGGGTTGGTGCAAATACTAATGCCCTAATTAGAACTGAAGACATGTTTAGAGATGATCACAGAGTGCCTTGATGGTTATTGATGGGATAAGACTAATTTCAAAGACGAGAAAGAGACAAAAACCTTGATACCAAGTACACCCAGTCTTGTATTTGTGGGACTATGACAGCTATGGCCAGTATGACCATCACAACTGCTGCTTTATGCTTTGCTAAAGTAGCTGGAGCAGTGATTACAGCAGTTCGAAGAACCTTCCACCAAAATGTTTGCACTGATCCACAGCAGAAATATCAAGATGATGATGATGATTTGGACTTTTGATGAGATGATAAGGCAAAATGATAATGCTGGCAACATGAACATGCAGAGGAAACAGAGCTAAGCCTGGTGCTTAAAATACGAGTCATTTAAGTTTGAATCAGCGTTTGACTCAGAGCCAAAGATTAGAGAAAACCCCTTCGATGAGAGGAGGGGGAGGAGTGAGGGCAGAAGTCTTTCACCACCTCTCTATCTACTGCACGGACACACATACCTCAAATATATCCTCTCTTTGCCAAGACCAAAACTGTTAACACTTGTATCACTATCTAGATTCATTATGGTCAGCTAACCCTGCTGAGGCCGACGAGAGGAATTCAAATGACTTTCTTTCTGTAAAGAGATAACAAACAATATATTGTGCACACACATTGGATCCACAAAAAAGATTGTGCCACTCCTGGGTTAGATTCCACCTCCAGGCAAGGCCTTTCTATGTGGAGTTTGCATGTTCGCCCAGTGACTGCTCCAGTTTCCTCCGGGTGCTCCGGGTTTGTTATTCCACTAAATACATGTACAGTATAGGTCCGGCATGTGGCACCTGTGCACCGACAACCCAACTTCCATCACTGTGTGAAATGAGAGGAAAATCTTTAAAGCCCTGAATATATAAAGATGATATGTTTGTGTAGTGATAACTAATACTTGTTTCTGTAATTCAGAAATGTTGTGAACAAAAGTACTGCTTTAAATCGTATATATTTTTAAAGGGATTGCATTAGACTATAATTCTAGCCATGGAATTGTAAATGGCTGTATTTAAAGTTACTTTAGGACTCATTTAGGACGCTTTAAAGCTGGGGTACCTAACTTTTTGTTGTTTGTCTCAACAGAAATCTCTGTAAAAATAACATTTTGTGAAGAAATCAGACCAAAACATGCTGTCTTTTATGTTGTCTTTTTGCAAACTTGCGAATCACCCCCATGCATTGGGCTGAGAGCTGATTGGCTTAGTGGGGGTGGTCCTCTCTTTTTCTGTCTCTTTTTCTCTCTCAGGGACTGACAGAGGCAAAAAGATTGCGGTTCACCTCATATGGCCTCGCTGTTTCAGATTTCTGTGTGTGCAATTTTAAGACAATAGTGCAACATTTTGGCCAAACTTGCTAAATCTCTGATAAAAGACAAATTAATTAGCACCCTTGACCTTTTTCCCTTTTGAACCCCTATTGTGTACGCGCTGCACTGTCTCCACGTTTGGCCCACGCACCTCTGGGTATCGTCCCATCTGACCTGAGTCCAGCTGTGTCCAGGCCTCACCACCTACTTCCTCCTCTTCACTTCCTGTTTGATCACCTGACCCGCCCCACAGGAAAGACACACACAGACACAGGAAGTGGCCGTTAGCATTGTGTTGCTATTATCTGCAAAAAACAATAACCATGGTCTTTTTCAGTTCTGAGCCGCTCACTTTGAGGTATTTCTTGCGGCACATCTGCGACTGTTTAAAGCAGGAAAGTTAAGAGTGATCTTCTCAAGATCTTTGGGAATTTTCCTCCTCAACTTTCCGTAACCTTTTGAGTTTTTCCTCCGGTCTAAAAGGAGTGGCTTGGGAGAGACTGATAAGTTTAACTGGCTTACTGTGACTTTTAGGATTAGGAGACCTGTTGCATCACCGCATATAGTCTTCTTATAGGTAATAAAAAGATGGTGCGTGAAGTGCAACCCGCTTCTGGACCAGGAACAAAGCTGAAAAATTGCTTAATCCACAAAAGCTCTGACTAATGAGCACATTCATGAGAAACATACTGGTTTGGTCATGATGTCAGTGTCGTACACATTTGTGGTTGACCAGAAAGTATGACGCAACACAGACTGGCAATACTTTTATGATTTCATTTAGGCATAACAAGAACAGCAATTAATGGCTGGTGAAGATGCCAAACGTTCGGTGTAATTGCACTTGAGCAGTCGTGAGTTCAGGTGGTTAGAAAAGTGTGTGCCGCCTTCATGGTCTTCTATTTTGACAATATTTTGGCTCTCTGCTGTTCACATAAACATAAACAGCTGATTGGGCTGTGTCCAAATGATTTGTCTTGCGTCCAGGGGGATACTCTACCACAATAAACATACACATACAGTACATCGGCCACATTGCTATACTAGCCGCAGGGTTTAAAGAACTTGGGTTGGTGGCTTATAGTTCAGCAATTGTGTTATCTTGCCACTACATCCAAAATTGGCAGTAAATTGGCAAAAAAAAAAGTAGAGCTAGAACTGGACAAGTGAATGACAGTACTAAACTGGGCTTAAACCCTTGTTGCTGGGGTAACTGAAAACATGGAACTACAACATCTCACTTGTACACTTTTCATACTCTTTAACACATCACTAGTAGTCCATCTATGCATATTTTTGACTGCTTTAACATATAAGTAGGTTATATTAGTATTTTATCTATTAAGCGTCTTTCACAGATAGGCACAAAGCGTTTTACAATTGTTGTGGCCATTTTTCCTCTCACTTCACAAAATGATGGAGGCAGGGTGGTCTGTACACAGGAGGCCCATGCCAGACCTACTGCACAGTGATAGGGGAAACCGGAGCACCCGGAGGAAAACCTTTGCAGACACAGAGAGAAAGGGCCCGCCTGGAGGTGGAATTGAATCCAGAAAAGTCACAAAGGGATAATCACTCTTACTCTGCCAATCCTCTGTCAGCTCAAATCCTCATATATACAGTACGTAGTGATTCCCAAAGCTCTTTCTTACAGGTTTGCAGTGGGTAAAAGATCATGAAAAACTGCTGCCGTCTCAATGATAGACTCAGATCCTGTCTACAGAACATGGTGGTTAGCGCTTATGCTTCACAGCAAGAAGGTCCTGGTTTTGATCCCACATTGTTTGTAGAGTTTGCATGTTCTCCCTGTGTCTGTGTAGTCTTTCCCTACCATTACAAACATGTACAATGTGTCTGGCATGCGCCTCCTGTGTACAGGCGACCCCCCTCCCATCACTGTGTGGAGTGAGAGGACAAATACTCATAACAATTGTAAAGCGATTTGTAACTCTGGCCGGTGAAAGGCGCTACATAAATAAAGATTACTTACTTACAAAGTCTGCTGAGTCAGAGTGTGGCGGTGATGCGAAGGCTTGTTATTGTTGGGTGAAAGCTTTATCTGTGCTGGGGGTCGGAGGTCACAGGACGTCCCACCTACGTCGAGGCCTGAGAGCTGGAGGAGTGAGGAGGGGAGCCATGAGCAGATGGAGCTGCAGGGGTGTCTGAGTGATCTTTGAGGGTGATGTAACGAGATACTTCAGTCCACATATGGAGCTCATCCACCCACCAGGCCTGGGGATATAGACAGTGATATCATTGTATAAAAGGGACCATTTTGACACATACTTCTTCAGACACATATTGCTAGTATGCTACTACTACTGTCAGGGCTTGTTTTCCTTACTACTAGTAGCATGATCATAGAACATATATCAAGAGTGGACTGACTGAGTGCTGACGTCACCATAGTGTTTGACTAATTCACAAGAGGCTGATTTGAACATATGCAAGCTAGAGCCAATTGTTGATACGCTGTAGCGGCAGCCTGATGGGAGGAGCTCATATTGAGAGTAGATGAGAAGATGGATGTTCCCAAACTGGTTAACCCCTGTACGCACTAATCTGTAAAGTTCTACTTTTGTTTTAAAAGCTTGAGTTTCACCTGCAAATTATGGCCTTTTTATAAACGTTTCATGCCTCATATCTGGTTTTACAAAGACATTATCACCGTATAACCACCAGGGGTACCACAAGAACAAAATTATTCTTATTATATTATTATAGTTATTTTTAAGCCCAAAATGGTGAGCGTGCACAAAACGGTTACTAGAGTTGGGGGGTGTGGTGTGTGTGTGTGTGTGTGGGGGGTGGGGGTGGGTGTGTGTGTGTGGTTGTGGGGGGTGCACCCCCCCCCCCCCACCACCTACAACAATTGTGTGGTGTGTGTGGTGTGGGGGTGTGGTGTGGTGTGTGGGTGGCCACACCCCCACCTCCCCCCCCCACCCCACCCCACCCCCCCCCCCCCACCCCCCCCCCCACCCCCCCCCACCCACCCCGGGGGGGGGCGCGGACATTTTACTTTTCCATGACATAAAATCCACCGGAGCCCGATCGCAGAAAGAAGCAACACTTTATCCATCCCTACAGCGCTATCGTTGCAGGCTAGCGGGATAAGCCATTATCCAATCTGCTGTACCAGTACTATGAGGGATCACCAACGCCTGACCGTGTGTGTTACTATCACAGTTTCTATTACCCACAGTTGCGTGTGCTAAGGTTAACTGAATTGGCCAGTTCAATATTTC